TGGGTTGCTTGTTGTAAGATGGGGATTTTGTTCTATGACGAGCATTATCCGACTCTATAATGTCTTCTGATTCAGAATGCCCTTCAAACTCAGAAAGATCGTTTGAAGATACCATAGGCACTGAACTTCTCTTACCAGTTTCTAACTCATAGTTGTCAATATCATCTTCTTCATCATCAAAATCATCAAAGCCAACACCGCGTCTACTAGTACATGCATCTGAATATTTCGCGTCATGGATCCTTGGCTCTCTGCTAGCTTTCTTAAAATCATATTCAGGCCTTCCAAAGTTTCCTCCTTTAGCTTCGTTATCTAAAGAAGTAGCTTCACCAATGACTGGAGAATCTGCATACTCAAAAGCAGCAACATCTGCCCCATCTGATTCATCGTCATCAAAGTCGAAATTCCATGCATTAGAAACCTCTGAACGCTTAGGCATTTTGTCCAACGTCATCCCAGGACCATGTTGCTTTTCTTGCATTCTGTTCTCCATGATTTCATCAGGTGGACGCTTGCAATCACAATGAAAACACACTGTGTTTCTCCGATAGTTTAAGAAGTTACACCTGCCAGACAATAGAACCAATGGCGAGGGTTTTTTATTTTATTTTTAGAGCTCCAGAAATATTTTACAACGGTGAAGAAGGCAAGCACAAAAAATCTTAAAGAGGTCAAGAGCAAACGTATATCAAGCAGCAAGAAATATCAGCTATCTAACAGAATATAACTAATCAACAGAGGAATGAATAAAGCCCATGGATGATAAAGCTTGAGACACACACACACACACATATAGCACTTTCACTAGCATTTAGTATGATTGTTCCTAAAACAAAAAGTACAGGGAATGAAATCTTACTGTGGGCATTCCCATTCGCCTGGAAGCAGCTGTCTTTTTGGACGTTTGGCATCGCATTGCAGGCACACAGTGTTCTTCGCAAAATTCATGAAGTCACACCTGATAGAAAATTAACAATTTTAAGAAAATCTGAGCACAAAATTACAACTCTAAGCACAGCCTAGACTCTAGAGTAACAATATATAACACATCCATCCAATCCATCAAATGCAATTCAAGAAAGCAACTGATAGTACTGGCAAGTGGCAACATCTAGTATCACTAGGATGGCGGGTTATTATCTATCACCTATGTAAGCATGTATCAGAATAAATACATTTGGAGGTCTACTCTAATTAAAAGCATTACATCCTGATTGTAGATATTTCCAAGAATGTGTCCAGAATAATGTGTTATCCCGTTACAATATGACTGAGAGAAACAGCTATAAAAAATATTGCAAGTAAAAAGGTTTTCCACAGAAAAACTGAAGTGCACCCTTTGCAGTAGTCCATCCAACATGTTAATCACAAAAGACAAAGCATGGGACATTAGTGGGAAAAATGTGACAGAAGAACATACTTGGGGCATAGCCAATCTCCTTTTTTCATCTCAATGTCATCACGTCCAACACGTTTCCTTGGAGGTGGAGGTGGCTGTTTTACTTTTGGGGGAGGCTTTCTAATTATTGGAGGTGGAAGATTAGGATCTATTGGTACAGAGCTCAACTTGACAACCTCATGAAGCAATTTACGAACTACGGTCTTCACAGATTTCTGCTTCAGAAGGGATTGGTTCACTACTGATCCATTCAGCGGATCAAAACCATATGCCAATAAAACACGCATAATGTCAATAGTCCGCGCCTCATCCTCTTT